TAGGAAAGGCAAGTTTCATTTATTGAGATGGGTGGAAAATAACGCCCATTTAGCAGGCTCCTTGAAATCCATGTTCGATTTGGATTCTCGTCTTCCATATGATATGCATTGCAGATCAAGCTTCGGTCTGACCTGAAAAAAAGCCTATTCAGGAAAGAGCAAGACGAACGCTATGGTGGTGAACAATCATACAGGTAGTCGGGTAAGAAAGTTATTTGAGTGCCCATACTTGCTATATTTGGCATATCTTAGTGGGCAACGCAAGTGGATTTTAATAGTATAACTTCAGCTTTGGAGTGTTCATTGGCTGTCTAGATGAATTTTCAAGTGGTAAAATTGTTACATTGCAGTAGTCTGATAGTAAGTTCTAAACTTTAGTCCGTTTGTCTTTGCCTGTGCAACGAAATCATATTACGGCTGGTGTTGCAGCGTCCCGAGACTTCCCATAGGGTGGAAGAAGGCAGTAAGTGAGGCTGGATACACGTGTTCCGAAGTGAACAGAGCAAATGGGCCTGAGCATGACCCGAAGTCTAGCCCACGAGTACAAGGGCCAGGCAATCCTAAGGTGACCGTCGAGCGGCAAGTAGTCACATAAACAAAGCATTACAGGTGTTGTGTCGATTTTTTATCCCAAATGGAAGAATGGTTGATGCGTTGTCAAAAGATGTTTGTAGAATGGGCTCTACTGGCATCAGAGACCAGTTTGCAAGATCAAGTATGGGGTTCTCGTTGTGTTTTCGTTTTGCCATGTAAGGTACGTAAAAAGAGCTATAGGTATTGTAAAAGACACTGAAGTGTCCTTTTTTACATATTTGAGTGATCAATCACTTTAAAGCTCATCATATCAGAACTGGTAACTCAGAGTCGCACTTTTTGTTCCCTTTTCATATCCATAATTTTGCATCATGATTGGATTAATTGTTTTATTAAATTAGGCCGTTTCATAAAAGCAGTGCATGCCTTTCCTTTTGCGACTGATAGTTTGTCACCCGACAAGCCAATGAGGACCGAAATTCCCAACACTTCGATTATGCTGTCAAAATAATGACACGATAAGCAGAAATCAAGGATTAAGTAGGCAATGTTTCGGTGTATGACTAGGCAGATATTTGCGTCTCTGTGATCTCCGCTTTCCGCTATATGGGTTGGTCCTTGGATTCTTTAATATGGTGTCTATTTTTCGTCAAATTACGGCCACTTCTTACAACGCAATGGGAAGAACTGACCCATATAGGCTTACATAACACGCGTGGTACGCATTGTGTGCTGTTAATTGTCGTTCTTATGCAAGTGCACTTTTTCACAATTACGCGTACACCTCGGTAATGAACATACAAGAGTGTTGGCTTGAATAGTAATGTAATGGTCCGATTTTCCTCCAAGCTCACTTAAAGCTAAATCAAACATGGTGGAAAGCCTGTTACCTATGAATTTACCAACTTAGCATAGGTTAAGGCTACTAGCATCGTCTCAAGGTCAGTGAAGGTGCATTGATGGAGCAATGAGGCGGCTTCTTTGCCAATTCCATAACAAACAAACAATCGACGTATTTGGGGACTGAATCGTAGCAAGAACTTGAGAGTCCAAGTGGTTGCATGAAGAAGTGATAAATCACTCCGAAGCAGCATCACGTTTGTAATGCTTTGTTTATGTGACTACCTGACGTTTGGCGGTCACTTTAGAATTTTTCTGGCCCCTGTACAAGTGGGCTGGGCTTCGAGCCACGCTCAAACTCCGTTTGCCCTTTCGTCTTCGAATGCATGTATTCAATCTCACTTATGCCTTCTTCTACCCTATAGGGAGTCTCGGGACGCTACAACGTTTTGTTACGAAAAGATTTAACCATGGCAATTTGTATTTAACGTGCTGAGGCTAATGATCAGTCCCTCTAATCACCGTCATCCATGCTGGCGCATAAAGTACTCCATGTCTTCCTAAAGATGTGTTAAATCTAACGTTTTTTAATCGAATATGCTGCATTGGCTTGGTGCTTAGTTAAAATAGGCATAAGCCGCCCAATCAACATTGATTCCGACTTTCGATTGGTGGCATAGTCCTCACCGGCCCTCTCGCAACCCATTAATAAGCTTTTTCGAATTCGGTTGACATGGAATGCCTTTAGCAAAGATCCAAGGTATGCTAATCAGCATAGGGTGGGTAAATTTCAAAGTTAACTGTTCATCGCATTTCGGGCTTGGAGAAGTGTATATTGCATCCCTTGTTTCGCACTTTCAACTGCTGATTTTTCTTATTCTAGTTTACAATTTCACTTCCATGCCTCAAAGGGTTTTATTAACTTCCCCCACTCAACCTCGCGCTCAGTGATTTGTTGCCAAATTCTTGGGACGACCTTTAGCCCTCCCAGCGATTGTTGTCCTTAATCTGCTTGTTGCCGATTTACAAAAGTAATCACAAAAACCCATTTTTTGGAGGTGGTTCAAATAATGTGCATGCTTGAAGTGGGTCTGCATTTCGCAACTTTGCGGGAAGTAAAATTGCAAGTTTCATAAACTGGGGTCGGTGCGGAACGAAAACGAAACGATGGCACTGCTGCAAACTTATTTTTGCATCCCCAACTGCGTTGCGTCCGAAGGACAGACACAAAATCATACAACTTGGAGCTACACACGACGCGGTTGAAGTCCAAGTGAGCAACATATTTGCGACATCAGACATTATCTCGACAAGGTACTTTTCAGAAATCAAGCTTTCAGGTCACAAGTGGGACTGAAGGGCCATGTGATTTAGGCGAATTTTAACTATCATATTGTCGCTGATCGCATCAAATGGAATAGTAGGGATCACGCTTAAGGATTGTCAAACGAATGTGCACACGCTGTCCAGAGGATCTTCATCTTTCTCCGTCAGGCAAGGTTGAGAGGGCAGTACCCATTTGGGGTACTGATATCTTTGAGTGGATTCATCATCTACTTCTAATAATGTGCTAAAAGATTTTCCATTCCACACCACACCTTCAAAGGAAGTACTTAGACATTTCCCTACAAGGAGATTCTTGCAAGGAAGTCAAAACAAGAACCTGCACAACTTAACTAGTTCATACCTTAAGGGCGATTTAGTTCGCTTTTAACTGTGGTAATTGGTGCAGTCCGCATTTCTTTCAACCGGCTTGCCAGCAGCGTCACTCATGTGTGACGCCTACACGCATGTGCCACCCATCCCGTCATTTTGCAGAAATCTCTCGAACTAAGTGACGGTGCAGAGGAATGGGATGGGGGCAGCACCATGAGATAGGCATGCGGCTGTCTTCCTTCATCCAACGAAGGTAGGCTTCTAGTGTGATTAGCTGATAAAAGATTTAGCTGGCAAGCGAGTTGACGGACGACCCCTTAAACACTTGCAACCCGACAAGTGGAAAAGCCAAACACATTTTAAATCCGGTGGCATAAAAGTAAACTGATGTGCCTATTAACTGTATGCAGGCTGGTGAACCACTTCTAACTGCTTTCCATTGGAGAACAAAGCAATGATGCAAAATGTGTCCACCTTCATTCTATCGCAATCGCGCCGATGACCTGAATTAACCAAGTCATTTCATTGTGCCCAATGGACAAGGTTTTGTATAAATAATTTACAACAACTTAAACGCTGTGATTAAAATATCATTGGCTAGAATTGCTCTCATTTAAGTAAAGTGGACAATGGCTTTTAAAATGCTTTGTTTTAGGGACAGATTGTATCATGTGAAGACTAAAAATAGCTATAACGTATTCGCTACATTCTCTGACAGTGGATGGGCGGCGTTGTGCTGAATATGGGTTGAGATGGCAGTAAAGATGGAGCTCGCATTTTCTCCGGAATAAACAATGCGACTGATCAAAAGCAAAAACGATGCTCTTCTAGGAGACTAGAGTGATGGTATCCAGTCAGTTATGACATAAAAGACGAGTCACATTTAATCACGACGAACTAGAATGGTCGACTGCAAGGGAAGCGAATGCATCAAGAAGTTAGTCTATCGGTGTAACAAAGTGACAAAGAAGACGTCTGACTAGGGAAGCTACGAAAAACCGCCTGCCTACCAGGAAAAAAGAGAAGCTGTTTCGCTCCGTGCTTGTGAGGGACATAGTCGACTTCTCTTCAACAAAATTAGGCGGTGGAGGGTTGAAATGGACACGGAGCATTAACTCCGGAAAATTCAAAAGGAAGCCAATAGCGCCTTGCATTTCGTCGTCAGCATTTAACACTCAATCAGTTCCAGTGGATGACCACATGTCACAAAACTCACTTCTTTTCCAAAACATTGATTAGAATGCTCCAAAAATCCAAAAGATGTAAATATTTAGTAGTAACGCACTTATATGCTTCACTATTTACCACTGGTAAGCTGAAATGATATCCTGTAAAGGCCAAAGTAGTGAAGCAAACGCTTGAATGCATCTGAGCGAATAAATTCACTTTTTTATTGAACCCATCTTGAGGCCGCCCTGTTGAGTTTATTCTGGGCAGACTGACCTTCAAACCAAACCAGCAGCCTCCAATTCCCAGCACTCTCGTCTCTTCAAAAAAATCTTGAAGCGATGAAACGGTGCCTAAAGGGAAATCAAGTTATGGTCCACCGTTTGATACTAAACTTTAGCGTGGTAAAAGGAGACAATTCTCTGGAAGTGGAGACGTCTCCCATCATAAAGGCTTAAACTGATATTTCCTTTCCGCACTCACACCACTCTTGTGAAATTCTATTAGTCTCTGAGGCGACACTATTCATAAGGCATTTTTGAAAGTCCAGCTATAGGGCTGCCTACTACACGTGCATGAAGACATCAGTGGTGCAAAATTGTGGTGCCTTCAGTTCTCTACTGGTTGAATAAAAGTTGCAGCTTGTGGATACACCGAACCTCAGTTAGCAGTAGAATTGCCACAAAGGATCGGCGATCTTACGTCAGAGTAGCTTTTCAGTTGCGCACAAACATAATGACTGAGAAAGCTACTTTGTGAGTGTTTTCCATACAGTACTGTCTGTATTTTCACAGTCGACATGGAAGTTTGGTCCAGGAAAGCATCGGAGACGACACGCACAGGAAAGGGAGCCACGCAGCTTAGCTGTCGAATTTGATAGCGAGCCACTTGGAGGCTCGATAGTGGAAAATACCGTCTGAGTCCTTGATTAATTCGATCATGCATATTCTGCTCAATTATGGTGCCTTCATTCATCGCATGGGGAGTACAGGTGCGCTACAGTGCAAGCCTTCCTTTAAGAGTGAGCTAACAATGCGTTTACACCTCAGCACAACAACCCCTCAAGCGGAATAAATAGATACAGAGTATTTAACGACCCAGAGTGTGAAAGAAGCACTTCTCAGGAGGGAAACGACGGACCTCTAATTTTGTGTGTGCATGAGTAACCGTGAAAGTACGCCAGAATGAAGGACTAGCGCTAGAGACAAGGAAAATTAACTAGTCAACCACAGTCAACTCTGAGTTCTGCTGTGAAATGTCTTCAAGGGAATGCCAGCACGTCAAATCAGCCTCAGCAATTAGTTAGAAGAAATCGTGTTGAAATTCTGTACGCTGGAAGATAGACCAGCGTCTCTAGTACCACGTTCAACGTGATAGGCTGATTAAATTTAGAAGAACCGTTTTAGAATAAGGTGGCGCCGACACGCCTTCTAAGGAAGGAGCTTTGGATCCTCCCTTGCTATCACGCATCATTCAGTAAAATAAAACCTGACGGCTGACACAATTGCACAAAATACGCATACTTTCTTTGCAGTAAAACACGACCAAAAAGTCAAGTGTAGCTTGAATTATCATTCCTAGGCATCATAATCCCAAAGCTCAGCCCTCACCCAGCGGGCTGTTCAACAAATAGACGAAGAAGACGATTAACTTTCCGAAGTTAAAACAAACCAGTACACGTTAGAGCAAAAAAACTGTTGCTGCAACATAGAAGGCGAAACAGACTTTATTCGTGAATTTCGTTGGCTTGTGTGTGTGAGTATGGGCTGTGTTTGTGAGAGAACAGCACAAAGCCCCTCGAATATACAATCACTGCGGGAATGTTATTGTGTACAAAAAGGAAGAGTTAAAGGGAAGGTGAAGAGGCCAAACGTAAACCATCATCGGCGCATGGGTGAGAGTTCGTTTCACGCAGGCGATGCAGCGTATATTTCCTGTGGCCGGTTAACCTCGACCCACTGCCGCCACGAGAAATTAAAATATGCGAAAAGGCAAAGAGGAAACAAATCAAAGCACAAGTTGTCGAAAGTGCGAGAGGTGGAGCGATAAAAGCGAAGACAAGATCGCGCGAATAACCTTCTATAAAGCGAAAGCGAACGGAAAAAGCATCAGAACTTAGACTCCTCAAAATTTTAGTGCAATCTACTGAGTTAGTGCCCAATATGAAACTCACAAATTGTTGGTGTTTGCGGCGGGTTTAAAATGCGTTTGAAGCAAGAAATGGGACTAGTGGGCCATCTCAAAGAACTGCATGCGGGCCTTGAAAGGAGGAAGTGTTTCAATTGGCGACGCAAGAGATAAGTCCTGCGACTTCAGGGACGGGAGAGCACTCTGTCGAACAGAAAGATCGGTCGAAAGAAACAACTGCATATCAGATCGGAAAGTTGAAGGCGTACAACACCGCTATTTCGATCAGAATCGGGTGAGAGTAGAAATGGGTGGAGCTTTCCTGCTAAACCTTTTCGCATGAGGTGCACAAAGTCCTTTCTGTTGATTAATGTAATGGCAAAAGCACTCATCAGAAGGGTGTTATTAGCATTCTAAAGAAAAATAACTCTTGGACAGAGCTTCACAAACAGTAAACAGTCCCAAAGAGCGTCAAAATGAGACTGAAACCGTTGTTTACAGAAAAGAAAACTTAATTAAGATCACGAATCCCAGGATTGAGAGGAACTGGATCCTGGGCACGACATTTAGGTGGAAAATAATAAACCTAGTACCTTGAAATAAAACATATTTTAACAAGAAAAACAACGCCTCAGACAAATGACCGCATAATTTTTCAATTCTCTAAGGTTAGGAGGGCTTCAGAATCACCAAAGCTCCTTTAAGGATAAATAATGGCAAGAATGCTATGGAAAAAAATGGCATGCAGTTATATGGAAAGGTGCAGCAGCTCAAATACCTTCCCTTGAGCGCTTTGACATTTTTGCAGTGCAGTAAACCGAACCAACGAAAAAAAAAACACTCAACGAATGTAAAAGAGACCAGTGTATAAACACTTCCGAACCACGAAACTTGGGAGGTGTACTACCTCTGTCTTAACGGATTCTCCCGGAACATTTGCACACTTCGGTCGCCAACCGCAAAAGTTTGTGGAGACACTATTCAATGGCGAACCATGGAGTGTTGGATTGCTCTGAACCTCAATGAATTGTGCCACCACTGGAACCATGGAGGAGACGTCATCTGTCTCCTCACTTTCGCTGGAAGTACTCTGTTCCCAAAGAGAGCGCGAAAGTGACCCTCCAAGCTTCTCTTTTTGCCATTGGTGTAGGTGATGATGGTTGTCCTCAATAACACATGGCTCCAAAGGCTTCTCTGAGGCAGTAAAACTAGCCTCACTGATGCCACTGCTTACAGTAGCCGCACGAACAGCAAAGCGAGGAGTTCTAAGCTGTGGGGGTCGTGTTATGCCCTCAGCACGATCTCTATCAGCCTGCCATCGACGAATGCGTTCCATGAGGGCCGCTGAAATGGCTCTTTTGGGTCGACTAGCAGCTCGCACTGCAGGCCTGTTGACATTAACAAAGCTATCCAACTTTGAATCCTCATTGGATAGCAGTTGTGTCGAAAGGTGCTTTGTGTTGACTCTATATGGAGAGGTCAAAGCACCTTTACTACTCTCAACAACAGAATAGCGATTCGCAACATCGGTGGATGGAACGAGGATGTTTTTCATCTCAACAGGAGATGATAACATCGAAGAAGCTGGCGAACGTAGTTTGAGCATCTTCGGTGGCGACTGCTTACGCGAGAGGGACACACACTTTTGAACAACTAAGGGACGGGATCCTTCGCCTGGTGACTTTTCAATCAAAGGACGAATGTGTTCGACCATTTCGCCAAGATATGGCTTTAGAAGGAGAGGAGGATTTATGATGATTGAGAAAGTAACGAAGTGATTGACCAATCAATCAACTGGGAGGGAGGGAGAAGGGAGAACAATACATTGCTAAATAGACACTTTTATGCGCGAAGTCGCGTAAGCATGCAGACAGAGGAATGCGCTAGGTAATAGCTACAAACTTACGTGAGTGTTCGTATGAAAGACGGAGGTACATGCGCATCCTCACCCTATCATCATCAGTCCTATAGGCGAATTCAATGAAGTAAACGAAAACTACAGCTTCACAGTAAAGAAACTAAGATCGGTTCATTTATCCAATTCGAAAGAATTACCAAGTAAAATACGAACGTCAAATTTGTAATAGCCCACCTTGAGGGGTCGAACACATTCCTGAACTTTGCCATCGCAATCAATGAGATGACAAGAGAGGTTACTAAAAACGGGTTGTCTCGAGGAGAAGACTTCACCAAAACTTGAGATGTCAATTCCATCACAAATGGTCAGGGTTAAGGTACCCTCCTGCGGATGGAGTACCTCTGCCAATTCCTGAGGCTCTAGACTCATCACCCACTCTGAGTTTGCCACCAACAAGCGATCTCCGGGTTTCACTCGACCATCCCGAGCAATGGGACTGTCTGGGACGATATGGCGCACAAAAATCCCCTCCGTTTCTTCATTCACAGATTTTTCACCACTTTGATTACAAAAATGAGTCGGCGAAGGGACTGCGGAACGAAGACTCATCAAACTCAAACCCACTGGCTCTTCTGAAGGGCAGGTAATCACTACCTCCTGCAGAAGAATGAGTTTGAATGAGTTTTAAAATCCTAACCCACAAGGGAGGAGAAATGGAAGACACCTCACCCGTAGACCAGGAGGAGAGGGGTCGCGTCGGATTTCAAGTAGCAAGGATTCTTCCGCAACGCCGGAGGGCATGAGAGCTGCCACCGCTTCATCGTGGCTCACTCTACGTAAGTCTCTGCCATTGACGCTCAACAGGCGGTCTCCCACACGAAGACCGGCCTCTTTTGCTTCTCCCTCTTCTTGTAGCTAGGATAAAGGAAGCCAGAGGACATCCAATAGCATGTAACACGAAAGAGCAGCGGACAGTTAATTAAATCGAAGGATTAAATCCATATGAGACCTACCCTCAAAATACGAATTTTATAAATTTGACTTAAAAGTGAATCTGACATTGATTAAATACAAGAATTTGGAGTGAAGACGCGTAGTTTATCGCGTGCTGCAAACAAGGAACTGGACAAAAGCATCTTGTTTGTTTGCCATGACTAACAAGAGACCAAATTCGACTTTGAAACTGAAGACTTGCGTACACCCTGGCATGGAGATGCCAATTTGCTCTAAAACAAGAATGTCGACGTAACTAGTCAAACTCACTTAGCTGTAGAATTGGGTGCACCACTTACATTACTTTGCTAGAAAGAGACCATTTAATAATGAAGCACCGACAGAGTTTGAACGCAATATTGATTTGATTGCAGGAGTTTGTGCTTGAGGGGGGCAATGGTAAGTAGTGCTATAAAAGTTAAGACGAGGGGATGAAGAAGTACAATATGAATCCACAAAAAGTGCAATAGGATTGTTAGAAGGTATGAAGATTGGCATGATTTAATAGGTGAAACAAAATGAGAAAGAATACGTATGTACACTCTGCGTGTACATGTAATTTGCCAACTGGGTGCGAGGTACACAAGCCAAGAGGTCGTCTATCGCCAACTGATCAAAGTTCAAATGCCGCTGAGAGAGCACATTTGCGAAAAAGGGTGACAGGTGAGTCATTCTTAAGAGTGAGCCTGTAATCCACGCAAGTATCCACTTTCCCCGAGATAATGTGACAACTTCTGGTCATTAACTTATTCAAATCGAAATTCTTAAGGAAATTGAGTAGTGAGCACAGTAATAGCCAGTTCTAGTCAAACTACATGGAGTTGAAGTGGGAAGGTCATAGGAAATGCCTAACCCACGCAGGTGCCGAAACGGGATGTTTTAAGGGACATCAACGAAGTCCATGTAAACTTTCAAAAAAGAACTGCGATAGTGTAATCGTAAAGCAAGGTGACAAAAAATGGTACCGTAAACAAACTCGCCCTCCTGGTTTTGATGATGAAAAACAAATTAGCCGAAACAATAATGGACAATATATCTAGAAGGTAAACTAACTCGGCAAATGAAGACACCAGGAGAATCACCACCAAAGGGCAAGGACGAGGTGTCGCAACCACCACAGATACGTAGACCAAGGCTCTTGCCGGGTCGATGCCTAAGGGTGACTCGATAGACGTCCAGACCTTCTTCTTTGCGCAAGAACTGTGGCCCATCGACCAATGAAGGGGTGTGTGAGAGGCTACCTTCGCCCGGGCCTGCTAAAGTGAAATGACGAGAGTTGGAGTACTCAGAAGAAACCCAAAGGTTCCAAGCTGCAGAATAGTTTTTAGGTTTTGATCCATGAAACAAAAGTTTACCACACAAGGAGTGCATTCCATATCACTTCAATTACGTAAAAGAAAATTGTCCGAGACTCTAGCAAATGTATAGTTAAATTAGTTACAACGAACCAATGAACTACTCCACCCACCCCTTTAAACAAAGCTGTCGACCATCAGGATGAATATCCTAGTCAGTAGCAAATGGAAGTTCTTGAAGGTCTTACCACTTTGAGGCACTAGGAGAGTTGGGAAGATTCCAACACACAAACACACGAATCAGTACACAAAAGCTGGAAACGCTTTTGTGAAGCTACCATCAGGACAACCTCGATATTGATGGAAAAAAAATTCTGAAGAACTAGCATTGCGTGAATGAAAATTAATTATTGGGGGAAATTAATATGCAAAAATCTTTAAATTACAGTACAGTTATTGAGACAACCGTCAACTTGAAATATCCGATTTAAAAAAATTAAATGCAAGTAAAGATATACAAACTCAAAAAGGTCATTGGATTTGTACACATATTTCTGCCAATAAATTGTCAACCTGTCATTCACAGCAGTCTGTGAAGTTGAGTTGGGGTGTGGCCATCAATGACAACTTGACAGCATCCAAGCGATGAAAGGAATGAATAAACAAAAACATATCCGTGCACACAACTTCACCAGATTTGCTTGAGGCAAAACACTGCGCATCTAGAACTGATAGAAAAACAATGCAAGCAATTCTAATTGGCCCTCGAGAATGAGCAACCCAAACGCCCCCAAACCAATCCCAGTAAACTAAGATGGACTAGTGAAGGATACATTTAATAGACTAAGCCTCAAGAAGTACTTGAGAACAAATGACTCTGTGGAAGCCATTAGAAAGACTCGCACACGAGCGATCACTTTGATAATGGAAAACTGCAAGAGTACGGTGAGCTTTGGGCAACTGACAGGCTGCTGGATGAATCGACCCATGTCCCAAGGTGGGTTGGGGAAGTTGTAGTAACTTAACACCGTGTGATTGGTAAGAGGACCCAACAAATCAAAATGGCTCAATATTACGGAGCGAAAATCGTTGGAGGTGAACTACGCCAAACACTGATTCTTATGATGTTATGCTGTCGGCGGTGGTTACAAAGGAGAAAACACATGCCTAGGTTATCCAGACACCTTGACCGTGACAATGGGGCTGATTTGTTACGATCAAGACTGAAAAAAGGTATGCGAATGTAAATACCACAAGCAAAGACAGGAGACATTTTATCGGATTCGTAGACGGTTCAAAAATAGAGGATATTGGAGGCCAAAACCTACCTTCATAAGTCGGCGTTTTATCCTTTTAACTACACCATAAAATGCTGGACAGGAATTCCGAGTACAACCTTCTCTTCCAACAAATGAGCTGCTTCCGAAAAAGAACTTATTTCCATCTTAAATTATAAAACACGGTGTACATACCAGAGATGTAGGAGACATTTGGAGCATTAGGCGTAGTGAGTTTGCGCAGTACTTCTAGCTCCACGTTTGGTCCAGCACCCGTGAGCAGAGTTATCACCTGGTCGTGCCGAGCATTCCGCACATCAATGCCGTTTATCTGCGCGGGACAAACGCACGCATGATGCCATCGGTTGGACAAAAAACTCAGAAGTGTATGCAGTCAGAATAACCTTGAATAACTGATCTCCAACGCGCAAATTCCCCGCCTTATCAGCGGCACCACCCTCCACAATCCGACTAATGTAGATGGTCTAAAAGAAAAAGTGAAAAAAAGTGGAAAAAATCATTAGTGAAGGGAGAAGCAAGCAAGGGGGAAAAAACGTAAACAAGAAGCTGAAGGGAGTAAAATTGAAACCAAGGGTATAGATAGAATAAAACTGGCGTTAAAAATCAGCTGCATAAGCAATGTGGATGTGTAGATGTGAGAATAGCTTGCACCAGCTACACGAGACACGTTAATCAGCACCGTCTTACCTCGAGGAAATTTAAGTGGGCCTAAATGAGGAGCAGAAGGGAGGAGAGGAGATTAAAATGATCAGTTTAGGTGTGACTGTAAGACTGACTTGTCTCTTATGTGCCCATACGCAAGCCCAGCAACAATGACTCACCGATGTGTCAGCTTGTGGACCGAGAAGACCGCGACCACCAGCAATGCTGAATCCTAATCCACTCCAATCACGATGCAGCGTGCATTTAATCAACTACAGAGAAAGAGACACGGCAATTGAAGCAAAGTGAGCGAGAGAAATAACCCATTGTCCAGAGACACTCCTTGGCCATGCCTGCGGCAAACTGACTAAAAAACGCGGTCCCATCGCTTCGCTCACTTGCTTTTTCATTCTCTGAGATGAATTTTAAAAAAACCGCGTTTTCGTTAGTTTTGAATACAGACGTGAATGCCATCTCGAGGTTTAACAGCAATATGGAAAGAGCAGAACTGCGCTGATTAACGGCATCACATTCCATCGTCCAAGACAAAGGTCTGAGCATAAGAAAAAAATCGCAGCGGGATTTTCCCAACCATGTTAAGAGAAAAACAACTTTTGACTCCAAGTTAGGTATCGAACGAAGCAAGCAGTACAGTAAATTTTATGGCAGTGAAATTACATCCATATCAATTTTATTGCCATTTTAAAAAGTAGTGGTAATGGGTAGTGTTTAACAAGAAAAATTAAAGGTCTTCTGGAAAAAATTACCAACCAATTTTTTTGGGAATTCCGGAAAATTGCAAATACAATTCGTGATTAATTGAGCAATCTAATAGTAACGTGCTTTCAGCAACAATAATCGCAAAAGTACTTTCGGGACAGCGCATAGGTCAGTGGGCCATTTTAACAAGGCAAATCAACTTCATTGTAAAGTACTTGCGCCACACAAAATCAGATTTTGAAGACCTCCTTAAGCTCAAACATAGAAAAAAAGCTCTTTAAAGACCACAAAATCCTCTCAAACTTGGGAGATTCAACTTACTAGGGACATCTTAAAGCATCGAAAGCTAGAAAAGTTTATGTCAGCATGTCCCTTGGGCCGTGTTTTTGCGCAATGCTGCGCAAGCATCAAAGGCACCCTGCCATGACCTCCAAGCCCTTGGGGGAGAGACCCGGCCCTGTTGCTTGTTCCTTCAATCTTGCAACTTTTACACACTAGAGTGATGAATTTTTCTTTTTTGCAAACCACCTGACAACATCTTCGATACACAATGTTCATCTACTATTTTTGAGTTGGAAAGAATTTGGCTATTTGGTGCATAAATGCAAATAAAAAAGCGCACCTAATGTTAAAGCAGAAATACGACTAAAACCAGGAAATTTTCCTTCAATCAAAGCTACAGAGAATACTTCATATCATACTCCATAACACCTAAACTATTCGAATGTATTGCAAAATTTGCGATAGGACGAATGACCAAAAAATATAGTGCTTTTACAAGGTTTGTTTGTAAATAGTAAAAAACTGCTTTGCAGAGTAGCCCAGATCTCGCATTGTGAAATGTCTCCAATAAATAGGAAGATCTTTTGCTAGGTCTCCCCCCAACTACTTCTAGAAGCTTAAGTTGGGAAGAAAAAGTATAATATTCTATCAAAACAACGACAAAAAGCTCACACATTAAATATGAATTTATTTACATGAGTCCGACTAATTTGAAATATTATTTGCATAGAAGTTAGGAAGTTACGTGGGTTGTGCTATGTGCTGCACAAAATCAAGCATTTTTAGATACCCAAGAAACGTCCAAATTCATACCCTACAAACATGTCCCATTGTGGCAAGCATAAAAATGTTTATGCTGCAATTCCTCTGTTGTTCCAAACACAGGATTAATGTGAAACACAATATATCCAATGAACATTCTTAACTGGCCAAAGCACAGGAAACTGGTGAGGGCATCAGAGAAAGATGTTAATGCAATGACTCATCAAAGGCTCACCTGCATGGCCATGGGAGCGGCTTGCACGAACGGGACAGTGGCGTTGGGGATATTGCGACCTAGGGAAGTGGTGTTGAGTAGACTAGAGGATAGATTATGCGCTCTTTGCGGATTCGCCACGTAGGGTGGTGGTGTTGCTGCTCTAGGGGCAACAGTTGGAGAAGTGTTGGGAGTCGGTGCGTCAGTATCGCTGGGTGGAGGTTGAATGATTACGGGCACTTCGCGGCAGAGGAGGAGCTTGAACCGCGTCGCGTCGGTTCGGAGTGCACTCACTGCCACTTGGTGCTCCACGTTAACCATACTCACTCCGTTTACCTGATGTTTATGCCACAAATACAATTTCAATAGATGTTATTACGTTACTTGACCACTCCTTGCTTGCCATAGAAAGACAAGAGGCATCCTACATTATCGACAAAATACTCAGAAGCAGCACTTGATTGGTGGCATCCCCACTCCATCCTTTCAGTATTCCGATAAAAAGCGTTTTGGATGGATTTGCCTACTAGTGGCCTAAAGTTATTTCTGGGGCTAAAGCACCATCAAGGCACTGCTCATGTAGCATTTGAATGCTGGCATTACTTATTACTGGAGGTAATCACAATGAACTTCCACTGCCACGCCCATAATTCTACCTTCAGCATTGATAACAGCATTCTGAGTGTCAAGACTACCTAAAAGAACCGCTAAATAGCGATGCCTTAAAGACAAAACGGCATGCAAATGTGAACACCAAACTGCCAACACATACGGCTTCCATCAAGTAAAGGCTTATTTGAAGACATCAGCAACTACATCGGATACTTTGTGATCGCGTTCGAGACTCAAAAAGCCTATGCCTTTCCTAGGTTTACTGATTTAATTGTAACATAACAATGTTTAGTTCTGTATTATGCATCAATGAAATGAGACTTTGTCACACGTAAACCATTTTGCATTCTAGTGGCCCAAATTCATCCGAGCTCCACTAATCTATTCAATTCTTATTCATTTAAGAAAACCCTTCTCAAGCTTTTACGAATAGTAGGGTATCTAAGATGGATTCAGGTACTCTGCTATCCCAACACTCGGGACTAAAAATACTGCCACAGATGAGTGACGTGAGAGAACTACCTCACATTAACGGGGTGCATAAAGGGACGAACTCCGCGTGGTTAATATTGATAAGATAGGCATATTTAATTCAGTATTTGGAAACATTATTAACTAATAGTTTCTTTTATAGTAAATGTTTAACACGAAGGCACTGAATGAAGAGCCAAAAGTATATGGGAAGATTTTCCCTGATTAGTTGAGGTTATGGTTACACTGCCCACTACATTACTAGGAATTCCACTGACAACCGCCCAATATGTACTACGTTCGCGGTACACCAACTATCAAATGTCATCAGAGGCACGATAATGAGAACGAAAAACTACACACCTCACGCACTTTAAAGCAATTCCCAAACACAAGAGTGCGGACCATCCAAAATCCTATTGTGCAATAAGAGATCCAAAATTTATGCTCACAAGCTCAGAAAACGATTGATATTAGGGTAGGAAAAACGCAGAACGACTCTTCAACTCACATGCCTAAAAATTAATCAGCAGAACAAATCAGGAAAGGAAAAACGACGTAGTAAAAAATTTGAGTTGACTAGTGTTCTAACTTTGTCCCGCACGTACAAAACAAAAAATTTAAAACTTTGTAGTGCCACAGTAAAGAAGTATTAAGGCTGTGCCAATATCTGAGACCATACTGAAACTTTTGGGCTGCTTTGGAGGTCTTTGTAACAAAAAATTCAGAGGAAATTTCCGGCATCCAACAAACTCGCAAACAAAATTAGACGATTTTCGGCAAATTACATTCACAATACTGCATTACTGTTCAACTAGTAGATAAAGCAGCGTCTCGTTTGGCACTCTTCACCTCTCGCCATGGCTGAAAATACACGTGCGCTTAATATTTAATACGCACCAGCTTGTGCTCATAAACTGCCCGAATTTTCTCACAGGAGATTGTAAAACGCATGAAAGTTCGACTATCCAAGAAAAATGGGTTGGCACTTAGCAATGTCGCGTTCACCACACCTTGAATCCTACCAAAATGCAAAAAAATTCCAACTGATCATGGATAGGTGTTATGCTACAATAAGTTTAACAGTGACGACGCAATCATGCGCACAGAAGGATCGAGTTCTTACAAAAGTATTGCCTCGAATACTTGGAAGAGGGCTATATTAGCCCCACTGAGGGGCATAAGTCATTATTGTGATTTTGACAGGTTAAGCTCAGAAAAACCGTCATTACCATAGCCGTAGTCTTGTTTATTGAGCAATAGAACATAAAACCCAAGATCTGTGAGACGATCGCAACATAAGCCAATGAACTCAATGTCTTGCCGAACCAACAGATCGCAAAGCAGTGGCAAACATTCGAGAAAAATGACACATAAAACCTGACGTCTTTGGGCTTAAGGGCTTTGCCAGTTGACGCATTCCTAAATACCTATCATGCTTTTCGGTAGAATTTCCCAACTATATACGTCTTTAGATGTTCCACATCTGCGAGGATGAGCAATGAAGATAAGATTTTAACAATGACAAGGTGATCACGTAATCATACTCAAGTCAGTGAATGCTGAAGAGTAGAACTACAGTAACAATGTTTTTGATCCTTCAGTATAAAGGCTACGAAAAGACATACTGATGAACCACAATTTGTACTTAAAAATGGCTGAAGTCCAAACAAAAAGAAGAAAAAAAACGTCTTTGCCAAGCTCAACGATTTTAAATAAAGTATTCAGATTAAAATAGATTAATTCAAAAATCCAAGGCTTAAAACCAAATAAAGGACTGAGTCAACCATAAGAACTCATGACAGCTTTGACCGACGCTTTAAAACATCACTGCGGGGCTAATGAGAAGACGCCAAAACGTACATTCAAAGTAAACAACAACCAATAAACAAGTGGTGCCAGGTCCCTACCAAACAAAGCTGATTTTATCGTCGTTTAACCCCATTCAAAACATGGACTATTCCATACCCAGTGGACGAACGCTGCTAATGGAGTTAGTGAATAGTTCATTGAATTCTAAAGTGTGGGAAGAAGAGACATGAAGCAACTCACCTCGAGTAATTTATCGCCAACTTTCAAACCAGAGGTTTCAGCAAGACCACCAGAGGCCAGTCGGCTGACGAAGATACCTTGATCAAGACCACGAAAGGGCACCGAGCCAACGCCTCCTGCGATACTCAGACCTAAACCACCGCCTGGCACACGCTCCAGGGTTACGTGGAGGGTGACCTGTTCCGTTTTCGGCGGTGGTGGTTGCTGCGACGTAGGTGCTGACAAAGACGACGAGGTGACCTGAGAATCCGCAGTAAAGGGCGAGTGCGTTGATACTCCTGGTCCACCGCCACTTCCCGATGCTGCAGCGGCTGCTGCAGCAACCATGAGGAGAGCGTTGGTAGTCTGGAGTTTTAAACCGAGAAGAATAAAGAATAAGCACATGGACAAGAGGAGGAGGGATGAGAATGCCGCCGGCGGTTGCGCGCTCACCTTCATGTTTTCTGGAGCATTACCGTCTGCGAAGGCGTCCACTACAGAGGGGTCGTGATACTTTTTCAACAGTTTGAGCACAGCCTCCTCATTATTCACTAGAGGATGAATGAATGAAATAGACTGCGAATTTCATCCGTAAGCGCAGTTATAGTTTGCCAGGTGGTGTTATTTCATGTAGTATTTACTGCATGGAAAGGTGAAATAAATTTTCATTTTCAATTTCATCCTCAAACTTTAGGCAGTCCAAACGAAAACTAAAACTTACGTTCACAATTGGCAAACACTTTATGACTGGGTTTTAAGAACACTCTGGTGTTGCGTTTCGAACCATCCTGAACATTAAGCCGAAAATAGCAAAAAAAATAAACTATACTTTCCAGTCAAGAGGTGGCGACGCAGACTAAAAACGTTGTCAAAGAACACACAAGTGAAAAAAAACGCATGCTAAGGTGATCTCCATGTCTGAATCAAAGTAGTTTCCGAGATCGAAACTGCAAAATGCTTGAGTAATTGTACAAAATGTGGTGTACCTTCACAATTTAATTGAAAGAACACTACTGAAAAGAACTTGATCCAAGTTAACAGGACTAGATTAGATCGAATAGATTATTAGTACAAGGTTTATTACAGTGGCAGCAAAGAAATTGATAGTAAATGTCTGCAACACTTAGAAGCATACTCAATCATGCAAAACGTTAGCTTATCAAAGTCCATAAAATTGTTATTTGTGTACTCGTTGATTTGGCAATTAATTGTTATTGACAAGCGATTCGGAAAATTACCGAGTTCAACTGGAGAAGATAAATGCTTGGTCTACAATGGAGCCCTAGAAATGGGTTACTGACAACAACTCCACGCAGACCATATAAGATACTTGGTCTTTTCGATTGTGAAAATCCAGCCATTCGCTCTTGAAGAATGAGAGCGCACCTACACACTGAAAATGATAGCTCTGTCAAGAGAAGGCTGAGAATGAGATGGTAAACATATTACATCTTTACTATACCGCCTTGTCCTTCTACCTCTTGAAAACGTCCTTGTCGACATTTAGCAAACGTAAATTATAATTTAGACACCAAAAAACGAAACTTACCAATGGTTCAAGCATTGGTGTGAAGTTGAGATAAATTCATTTCCCAATAAGAATGCAAACTTAAGATTGTACTTTATTACCCTGTGAGATTTTTGATTTGCGAAAGAGCCAGGCAGCGAGCATTACGAAACAAAAGACTCCGAGGAATTCAACCAGGCTAGTAAAAACATGAATTCGTTCCAAATATAAAAGCCTCAGTTCAAGAAGAGATAGGTAATTAATTTTTCTTGTGGATGAAAAAAGGCCCAGTGATACCTCACTGCATGAATTTTTATCAACACACTCACAACTACTACAGAAATGCTTACTGTGAATGCGGGCGCGTTTGGTGTAATGCGGGGTATCACGTCGAATTAACTTCAGGCTCGCGTTGTCCTCATTGTCGATTACCTCGTCGCTAAAGGCCACAGATTTGGTAATTGTGTCGATCTCCTCCTGCCATGTCAAAAATAACAGAAAGAACCAGTGCCGAATGGAAGATGTGAACAGCCTTTGGGAATTCACCATGAATTCCAAAACGATTTTAAGCTCGACCTATTAATAAATCAGATCATCAGTAGTGTTGGAAGGTGGTAGTAATGGAAACTCCCGAGAGATTTCGAACATTTGATGACCTGGGTAAGTACTTGAGAAAATTAGATGGATTCCCGAAATTAGTAAAGCAAAATTTAATAACCAGGCTTTCGTGGGGTCTGACGGTTATATGGTAAAGTCCATTTAATAAAGCAGAAAGCGGTTGTCTGTCTTTTAAATAAAATTTTTGCAGGACTGTATATTCGCCTCTCTGTCATTGTGCTATTTTAACGTAGAACTCGAAATTCTGGAGGAATTCGAAATTTAGCCGTTTAATGTCTGGTGTTCGGTCACATTTGAGGTTGAGTAATCTGATTGGTTTATAAATGAGGTTAATAAGCGCAAACTTGTCTACTTATTAATCGAGACGCAAAGGGATATTTTAATTTGAGAAGCTCAGCAATTAGCATAATCTTGAAAAGGCCTTTTCAAAAAATTCGATTGCTATTATGAGCCTTAAGCACCCTCACCTACAAAGTGCCATATTATTGCTTTTCAATTCATAAGCAACGCCGAATTTCGTTCTCGCACTAGTATTTAGAACACAATAAATACTTAACTCGAACTTCCTGAAATGTATCGGTGAGTAAGCACCGGTACCTAGCGCAGCAAGGGGGACAGAAAAGGGAAGGATTTGCTCAGAGTTGGGGCAAAGCATGACGTTAGTGTGACAGCAGTCCAACAACTATTAACTGCTCTTCCCCGTAAGATAAAATCAAAACTAGATGACTTACCCCACCGCTGCTATAAGCCTGCTCCTCATCTTCCTCCTGCTCCTTATCACCAACAACTCGATGTTCGTAGGGAGTCTCGGCAAAAGCCACCCCTCCTTCAGTGCCATGGCGGCGTGGCCTACCGGATAACGAGGTGGAAGTGGCAGAGGTGGCAGCGTTTGGTGAGAGGAGGTCGTCGATGCCGCCTGAACTACCAGTGGATATGGGCGAGCCAAGGTCAGAGCTGAGACTGCCAACATAGTCGCCAACGAACTCGATATGATTGGATGGATGAGTACTGGCACTGTCCGAGAGAAGAGAGCACGGATAATCAAGAGATCGATCCACAATATCATTTCATCCATTAGTTATAAAGCAGTTGCAAAGCTACCAGACAATTTCTTAGCAAAAATTGCTCACAGTGTTGAAACAGTTTTGAAAACTTTTTTACCTGCGTAAAAAGCGTGCAAGCTAGAGCCTTGATTTCCCATGAACCATTTGGATGAATCGAACAGATGGCACAATCTATTCACTCAATTTAACAAAAAATTATGCAATTTTGACATAAGAGATACGGACGCTAGCAAGAATTTTGTGATTGGTCAATTATTTCAAATTACATGAAAATGAACGTCTCAGACCTATAAACGGTACGGCAAATTATGCGATCCAAGCTTAATGTCACTTCTGTTTATATGTCTTGCAGCAGTTCAGAGTGAGTTTAAGGAATAGAAGACAAAACGACAGTACTGCAAATATTATTATCTGGACTGAAGAATTTCGAAAGAGGAATCACAAATGAAGCCCAAATATTGAAATATTTGAATTGAAACATTCATCAACTTTGGATAATCAACAAGTCATAGCTTCGATTCCCAACATTTAAAAAGTTTCAACCCCGAAATTAATTAACCTGTTCATCTGCTAAGTATTGAATTTAGGTGACTTTGAATTGTTAATAAAATTTGCCGTTTCTTGTCTTTTAGCAAAAATCTGTGTGAGTCAAGGCAACATAGCCAATCTCCCAAGATTCTGAAAGGTGATGTGAACATCAGAAAAAATAAGATATTAGTCAGTCAGTTATGTCAACTTGTATGGTAGGAGCCGGGTTTGGCTTTCCAGATTGGATACTCTTATTCGCACAACCAGAATTTAGTAGCAATTTATTCACTCGTGTTACACCGTTGCACGATAAAAAGATACGAAACAACGAGCTTGGAATAAGAATACGAAATAAAAAAAAACTGTTTAAAAAGTCATAAGCTTACAAAACAACTCCTGTTGGCACAAACAGACTCCTCATCACTCATCAAAGTCAAATGACAGAACAAAAATTTGATAACATACTATGGAGGCGAAGTACTAGAGGCAGAACTCGGGCCAAGGATGCGTTTCGGTCCATCCTGATGGCGAAGGTAAACAGGCATTGAGGGGTCCTCGATCTGGACGTCTGGACGCTTGTACAGAGGCACCTTGAATAGAATGGGGGCAACTGTCTGTTAGTAAGCTTAAAGAGAAAGAGAACCATCGAAGCAGCCGCAAAACTTACAGAATACTCCTGATACCGGCCATGAGACGTGTTCTGGTCCGCTTTTGGTTGCAAGTCTAAAGATCGACAATTGAGGAAGCATCAACCAAAGGCTCAAGTGGGACTTCAACTAAGTGTCTCCAAAGTGATTGAAGGGATTCATTGCTGTAAAGCAAAGCATTCTTGTTTCCCTTGAAACTTCTCACTCTTTTTCAAAACGTAATTACGAAAAAGCGAATCATGACGGTACGGTAAGACAAACTTCGAAAAAATTTCACGGAGCTTAAACGGGCTCTACAAATCGACCGGCGGAAGAAGTTAATGAGATCGTACATGATTAATTACATTAGTGTGGCGTATCAGATAGAGAAGTAAACTCACCAAGACCATTAGGAGGCAAACATGGTGTGTTGTCACTCTAAAAAAATATGTCGAAATATGAGCGAAAACACTACCTTATGTAGTCTAACTTCGCTGCTATTAACAAAAAATAATTATCACAGAGATAAATGCCATGGTTCTATTCAAATGCAGAATTCACATAAGAATAAAGGCAGAACAACATACAAAAAATGTGAAACGAAATCATTTTTAGCTGAAAATACCTTTTAAATTCTGTTGACACAGATTCACAAAAGT